CGAGCGGAGCAAGTCTCTCGGCGTGCCTCTCAACGGGGAGGTTCCGAGCAGACGAGCTACGACGAAGCGACGTAAGTCCGTGTGCGTCCGCGGGAGCGGGAAGTCGATGGTTCTAATTGCCAACGACCGGGTACGAGAGTTGCTGATCGTATTACCTTTTGCGTGGGCTACGGTTTTCAGCTTGATACTCGAAATAGACATAAAGTCCGCGAGAATCGACTCTGTTCTTCCCTGGCCCGAGGACCGGTACTTATACGCGTGGCGCGTGATGTCGCCGGCGCGAAACGGCTCGCGCGCGACTCGCGCGGCGTAGCCGCCTGGCGGCGGCCGGTGTAAGCGCGGGTAGCGCCCGTGCTCGCGCGTTACGTGGCGGCGAAATCGGTGGCCGTGTTCGGGGTCGAAGGACGTAACGTGACGGTTCGTCACAAGGTTATGAAAAGTGTCACTTGTCTGACACTCGTCCTAGCACGATTCTCTGACGGATGGAATGAACTGGCCAATCAAGGGAAAAGGAGACGTCGCCTGGCTCGAGTTTCGAATGCGCGAACTTTGAATTGGATCAGGAATCGACGTTCTGAGATGTCGAATGCTTCCGATGTACCTCAATTATGGTTGATATTGAGTTTTATTTCAGTAAGTGTGTGAGGATTTTGGGAAGAATAAATGCCGGAGTGTTAGGGATAGGTGGCCCTAACGGGTTCGGCCGGGAGAACGGGTGTTGAATTAAATCAATATAATCAGCGATTAACCAAAAGTGAAACCTGGTTTATTCAAAAAATGAATTTGTCTTCCCTGGAGGACTTCGCTGGGTCCGTGATCGCCGGAAATACCACACGTCCAGTCTGTCGTCCCAAGGTCCTCCGTACTTGTCGCGCGTCTAGCGGCGGTGTCGGCTTTCTCGCCCCTGCCGTCTGCTGTTGCTGCGATCGCTGGAAAGACACAAGTGAATAAATATGGGCTAACGACAATGTTAGAGCCGCACGCTGAATCAGTTCAACAGCGTGCTCAGTGGACTGTAATTTCCGGAGGCTTTTCGCACTCCGCTTCGGTCTTTCGAATATCTCCGAAACGAGACCGGCGCCGTGAGCGTTGATTACTCAACGAACGGTATTATACTGCTACTGCTCACCGCCTCGTTGCACTTTGTAAGAGTGGAGGCCGCTGTAGGACCTCAAGTCTCAGCGCTGCGCGGAACCGAATTCTATCGTTCGGGCTGAGACCCGTGGAGTGGTGAGATGCAGAATAAAGTGCAGTGTTACCTGGCACGAGTACGTCCCGTATTCGTTCAATTCACGAATACAGTGGCTGGTCCTTCACGTACGTCCTCTCTTAGAACCCCAGGAGACAGCCGTCGGTTGAATGTTCGCGGATACTCGAAGGGAATCGAGGTATCCTTCGCCGTGCAGGTCGCACTCGAAAGGTGCTGTATTCACCAATGCTGGGGTCCGCTGCGGTGTATCCTACACCGAGCAGGTCGCACTCTAGAGATGCTGTATTCACCAGCGATTGGGGTCCACACGGTTGAACATCCGACACGTAATCCACCGGGCAGGTCACACTCGATGGTGCTGTATTCACCAAGTCTGGGGTCCGCCTCGGTATTTTCCACAAGGCAGGTCACACTCTGAAGGTGCTGTATTCACCAGCTCTTGGGGTCCGCACGGTGGAATACTCGACACGTTAAAATCGACAC